TTTCTTCATACTCTACTATATAATTTATTTGTATGTTGTGCTCTTTGGTCCTTGTGTTTCAAGGCACAAACTCTGAGTAAAGTTTTACTTGGATGAAAAGAATAAATAGCTTCTAATTTATGCTTTGGGAACTTTTTGTTAAGCAGTTTAAGAACTCAGGGTTGCTTTAATATGAAATGAAAGAGAAGCCTTAAATATGTTAGGGTCTTCTTGAAGGCGAAGAAATACAATGTATTCATGCTAATCTTTAATGTAGAAAAGGGTAGGTTCTAATTTTGATATTATTTATTAATCAAGCAAATATAATCCACATAAGATAATAGAATGAACTGAAAATTCCGGTTTCAGGTTGAATACCTTGAAGGACTAATTAGCTTGTTTTTATGCATCTATCAGTCATGAAATCTGTCGTGTTTGCAAGAAACTGTCATTGTAAACACACACCTACATTTTTCTTCCTTCCTGCAAAGCATTAATTGTATTGGAAAATACAACCAGTAACCTCAACTAACCTAGACCCTCCAGGATGCTTCTAAAAGTAGATTTAAGACAGAATGATGCATTTCTGTTCCTTGAATGTCAGCTTCGTGGGAGAGTGCATCTGGGGGGGGGGGCATGGTACTATTACAGTGGTTTGCCTAATCCCATGTGTACACTTGTGTTTAATTGCATGATATCATTACCAGATTCAAGTGTGTTTGCGTGTGCATATATGGAAATGGTGGAAAGGCAAGTGGAATATACAGTCGCGCCGTCTTTTCTGTGGCATTTTGCATTTGGCAGCTGAGCAGTGTTGAGCCTCGGTACTTAAACTTTGAATAATATATAAACAGAAGTATTTGCAGAGGAGTGTGGACGCACACGTTGGTGTCACTGCTAGAAAGACACTGTTGATGGAGGTCAGGGGGTGTCATTGTGAGTGTGCATGTGAGATTGGTCGGAGAGATCAAAGTAAAGAGTTCAAGATGGGGATCGTTTGGATTTCAAAGGGATTGCATGAGCGTCTTTGGTGTCCAGCATGCTCATACATGACTTTATGCCTCTGGCATGATATACATTACGGCACGGGCATGAGTCACAATGGGTTTGGGTGTCTGCATTTTAGCATGTGTTTGCATACGTGTGTCTTTGACTGTGTGCATTCCAGCTCAAAGTTCAGTAGTCTGTGTGGTGCCCTGCAGTGCCCCTTGCTAATCCATTCCCAAAATGGCTGTTGCCAGGCAGAGAAATTACCCAGCAGGGTGCTAATGGGACTAAATAGGAAACTCAGCTCTGTAGGTTTTATTGAACTCATAGCTTATATGTCAGGTGTAATTTTATTTTCTTAATATGCCCAATTAGCTGTTGAAACCATTATAAGCACCACACAGTTGATTCCTGTCCTCGGTTTAAGGTGTATGGATGTCAGCAAGGCTCAAACAAACATGCTCATAGGAACATAGAACAACTGCACCGTCACATCGGTGATGCCATTTTGCCCCGGTTGAACTCAAAGGTGAAAAGGAAATCATCTATCTAAGAGAAAGGTATGAAGGAAATGTCAGCTGTCAGGAGCTAACCTTGGTCGCAGTACTGATAGAAGGTAGGTTGACACCATACAGTAAGTGGCAGCAACAAATGACTTTGAGTCCACGCTTTCCAAATGTCCAGGAATGGAGAAACAACATCATGTAAGATTTTACAACTCAACTTAAATTGTATAGCTTAAAGGATACAGCATAAATCCAGTATATACTTCCTATGCAGCACAGTTTTACTCTAGCTGAGCACTTAAAGCACGATAGATTTGTCCAGAATGGTCCAAAATACAGATCATATACCAAACTGTAGGCAGTTACTTTAAAGACAATCAGCCAAACTGATAATATGTTACGTCCATGGGAGCTGAGTGGGTGCAGCCGCTTCTGGCATTCACAATTCCCCTAAACTGAGCTTAAGTCATTAAAATTTCTTGCACATGCACAGTGTAACATGAGATACAATGCTATATTAGTAGCAACTAACTGGCTGAATGACAAACTCAGCAGTGTTCTATAATATGAAGAAAAATGTGCCTGTGTATGTTGAATATATGGTGACCTGTAGTTTTGGAGTTTAGCCTAAAAAAAAAAAAAGGAGGAGGTGGGTTTCCTTTTAACTGGAAATTCAGCCTCTTTCCCCATGTGTTTGCCTGAAGTTTGATAATGACTGTGTGTGTGTGTGTGTGTGTGTGTGTGTGTGTGTGAGGACAGCTGCTTTGTGTCGATCAAAAGCAGCAGCAGCAGCAGATTCCCTGCAGTGTCCTCTGGAGTTGAGCTCACTTTAGCACACGTACATGCTTGTACGCACTCTTTTTCTTACTTTGTTAGTTCCCAATTTTCAGGTCTGTTGTGCTACTAAAACATTTGTTACATGTTTGAAAGAGTTAGTGTTACAGGAGAACAACAGACTTGATGTTGCCCCATGTGATCGCCACATAATGGATTACCTTGACTTTTTTCTTGTGTCTAAAAGAGCTGCTAGACTTATGGACCATTGTTTAGTCTGGGATTCATTGTTTTGGTCTTTCTCAAAAGCTGTTATAGACGGGGGTTATTCATTATTACAGCGACTTATATTTAAAAGTCTTAAAACAGTTGGTCGCTTTACAAAAGTGTCTTGGACTGCCAGATATTTTACAGGAGAGGAGAATACCAGGAAAAAAGTATCCAACAAAATAAAAGGAAATCCTTGAATCCATCCATGAAAATGAGGCCACATCTTTGGTGATTTAATCAAATGTCTTGTTATGGCTTACGAAACGTTCAAAACCACAACATATTTAAGGCTTTTTATGACTAATAAAAAGATCAAATACTCATATCGGAGAAAAACAAAACACTTTGATAATTGCTTATCAAAATAATGTACTTTCTTTTTGACTCCTTGAATCAGTTGCACCTCTAAACAGTTTATAGATGTAATTCTGTAGTCTCTATTTCTTCTGTTTTGGGGTTATTTGCAGCTGCTTGGTCCACTGGCATTTCTGTTGCTTTGATACTCAGTATTGGAGCATTCATGCAGTGTTTACTAGCAGCGAAACTTCTCTGCCCATGAATGTTTATTACTAATGGGAAACAGAAAAAAAAATCAAGCTCTAATTAACTCAAATTCAACCCCTTTTAAAATGCAGAATAAATATTAAAAGGCACGAGTGCTATGCTTGGCCCAGGTCAAACATGGCGTTCATTGTGGAAAAACTACCCTTTTAAAGTAGTAGACTTAATGTCTGTTCGGTGGACATGCACAGTCTCTAGATGCCAGTAAAGGAAGGTCTTTTATGAGAAATGTTAGATAAGAAGAGGGAAAGAACTGGGAGAGGCGATTAGCCCAAATATGCTTAATGTCAGTTTTATATTTTTTCCTTCCAACATGTTGTTTAAAGTTTAGGCTTTTGGTAATTATGCTCACTCGCGTGCGTGTGCGCGTTTGTGTGTAACCCTTCTTCTTTGTGTTTCTCACTCTTGACTCTGACTCTCTAAACGTGCAGGCTGATATGTCTCCTTTCCCTGGGGATGGTCCAGATCTGACAACAGCTAGGCCTACACCCCATGCAGGAAACCCATCCCACTGAGATATAATATGCACGGTTGTGCATGTGGATATTATGCCACACCAGTGCCAGTCAGTGTCTAGTATTTGTATAGACGTTAGCTTTTCTGCAATCTTGCTCCTTTTGCTTTTTTTATCAAGCAGTTGATGATCATACACTTCGAGGAATATGTCCTCATTAAACTTGTATTGTGTTCATTCCCCACTCTAAAACCAGTATTGATTTTTTTGCCCCATTGTGATATCCATCCTCAGCATGAACGCCCGCTTACAGTGCCACAAAATCTTTTTCTTAATAGCGTTTCTCTGAAATCTGTGCCAGCAGAGCCCCTGTGCAGGTTCAAACAAGGACAAGGAACAAGCGATATTTTTTTGATAATTGTTTCCTTTAAGTCAGATGGATTTTTTTCTGAGAAGAGCATGAAATAAAGGTCAAAATGTTCACCCAGTAAAGCTTGACAGCTGCCTCCAGCCTTCTCCTCTCCATCTTCCTTGTTATTCGCCTTTTTCTATGTACCACATATCTGTCTGTCTCACTCTGTCAAGGTCTTTTTCCTCCCTTTCTTCCTATCTGTTTTGTGCCTCAATCGCAGTTCTCTCAGTTAATTATTTCTTTTGAAGCTTTGATTTTTTTCTTGTCATTGAAGAGAAATTGCTTCTAAGAATGACTATGTCGAAGAAGCTCATGATAGTGACCTCTAATTCAAATGTTACACAATACACTGCAACTACACCGGATTACATACATTTTTGTTTCATCTTGCGTATTCTATTAGCGCGTACAAGGGTATTCAAGGTTGTTAAAGATGATCATATAGTACTCATTATGTATGTTCAACTTCCTGAAAACAAAACCTTTAAATGGAAGTTACTTTTATATAAATAAAAGCCAACGTAATGTATGTATAGTGCTTAAAAAAAATGTAAGTTTAATGCCACTGTTGCCCTTAATTACCAGTGCTGTTACTTCTTATAGTTCATGTTGTTACATATGCATTTTTAAATGTAGTGTTTAACAAAAAGCTGAAAAAATATACTAAAGCACATTATTATTTTTTGAGTTTGATTATAGTTGATTAAAATTATAGTTATTTACTCAGATCCCTGAACATAAAAAATTGTTTTAGTAGTTGAATGTTATGATTTGGGTATAAAATGTATTTTTTTTTTTGCCAAATAAATAATATTTTAATTTTTAGATTTCAACAATTTTTGCCAGATTTCTAAAATGCTTGTTTTTTTTGTTTTTGTTTTCAATGACAGTTGGTCTAATAAATTTGGTAAGCACTGTATGTGAAAAAGTCAAGCCTGTTTAGAATTGCTTGTGTATATTGATTATATGGACATGTATAAGGTCTCTTTCCTACAAACAGGTGTTTCCATTTTTAGTTCTTTGCAAATAACCATTTTGGTAATGGCTTCCTTTACAGGTTAACAACTATGTGGAGGAAAGAGAGGAGATCAACCTGATTCATCCTGCCAAAAAGCTCCTGTTGTTGTGCCCTGGATGTGTCTGTCTCAGGGAGTCTCTCTGGCCAGTGGACTTGGTCAGCAGCAGCCCAGCCAGCCTTGATCTGAAGCCCTACATTAAAACTCAGCACTGTCATTCATCTTACACCTCCAGGTTTGGATATTTATGTTTTCTTTTGTCTGAAATGTCCTGTTTAAACCAAAATTTGTCCTAAGGGAAATGACTGAGTCCACAAAATGATACAATTTACAAAATGAAGAGAATTTAGGTGTGAAATTATACTGCATGCAAGACGTATGAACATAATTGGGGGAAAAATCTTGTGCTGTAGAGAATATCCCATTACTTTCCAGTTCTTAATTGGTCAAACCATTAACTAGTAAGAGTTTTGCTAACAGACAGTGGTGCTGCTTGTCAGCTGCATGCATCCCCAAAATGCTACATATTTTACCTTCAGTTATGTAATCTGAATGCTCTGGAAATTACAGACTGGATATATCATGAGATATTTAGATTAAAGTTGCAAACAAACTTTATTTCTAGGTTTTATCGGTCTTGTAGCCAGAAGACGAAGTTGGGTTCCCTGCTAACTGGAGCACTGCTAGAGGCCACACTCGTGCTTGGTGCTCGCACGGCACTCCTTTACCCATTACCCCAGTGCCCCAACAGCCACGCTGTCTTGAAAGGTAGGCTTCATGCTGTTGTTTGCATGCACGTAATCTTGGGAAAATAACATAATGTGATATAGAGTATGTGTATCTTAAATACACAGACAGATGACACATTATAAGGAAAAATAATAATAAATTATGCTGTGGAGGACATTTTTGCTGGCATGGTTTGATCCCACTTATTCTACTTGTTCTGAGTGAAACATGCTCTCTGCTATAATGCCCGCATCACGGAGCATGAGACGACATAGAAAGGTTTGAGAAGTATGAAGTGACCTAAATGCTATCCTATTTGCAATCATCATCTCGATGCGAACAAAGAACTGTGGAATATTTTGGACTGACAGCGCTGTCCACCATCATCAAAACACAGAATGAGGCAGCATCCTTTGGAAGAGACTCCTGAGACTTGGAGGATCTATTCCAGTGCACACTGAAGCTGTTCTGGCAGAATGTGGTGGTCTAACACCTTACTAAGACACTTTCTGTTAAGATTTCCATTAATTTGACACCTGTCTCAACATTATAGGATAATTGGCTCTTATTTCTGCTCATAAGATAATAAACAGAGGTGCACAAATTGGATCCCAAGTGAAGCGGGAACTTCTGGGATTCTCATTATTCCCCTGCGGTCTATTGCTCCCCTCGTTTTCCTCCTCTCTGCACTTTTCCCACATGATTCCTTATCCACAGCGTGATCTGGGTATGTTGGGGTCTGTAGCTGATCCCAGTGGTTGGCCTTTCCCTCTTTCCATTCTCTTTTATTTGCCTTGCTGTGTTCTCTCCATTCACATAGCCCTCACCGTCTCCCTCTTTCCCTTCTATTCTCTAATTTAGATACACTCGTGCTCAAGTGGTTTAAGAAGGAAGGAAAAACTTCCAGACATCACAGAGTCTACACAACACTCATTACACACACATCAGGTTATCTGAAAAGAGGCGATATGCACTTCAAACATGCTTGCGCCGCTCCCCAGAAAAGCTTCGGAATCACAGCATGATAGACTTACATTCCAGCTTTTTATGCAGCAGAGGATCATCAAGCTCTGCCACTTAAATGCTTTGAGGAGTAAATTAAAATGTCAGTTGTGAGAAGATAAGACAATAAGCTAAATTCTATCATGCATATTGCGTTTCACCTCTTTTTCTCACTCTCACTGCCCTTTTTCCTCAGTCTCCACATGACTTCATTGTCCAACCAGTCAGGTTGTCGGTCCGTTGTTCAGCTGTCTGTCTACCTTCTCTGTAGAGATGTTACGTATGACTTAAATGTAAGCCAATACTGTCATTAATTTCCACTGGCAGTGAGACAGCGGACAGGCTGTCTCTGACAGGATCAAGGAGACACACACACTCAGATGCACACACAAGTATGCAAACACATTTTTCTGTTTCTTTCTTTTTGATTTGCTCTCGGTCGTGTTAATAATTATAAAGCATTTGTTTTTGTCAGGCCAGCTTTTTTGAGGCAACACACAATCGCACACAGACGCACGCTTACACAGTGCATATCTTTAACGTGACACACTGTTCTGTTCTAATGGGTGTTACAGGAAACAGAATTGAGCCAGACACGCGCGCACACATAGCAGCTTAGAAGTCTTGCTCATGCATAGCATGAACCCCGCCCGTCAAAACTTGTAGAATTTGTTATCAAGCAACAAAGTTAGTTACCCATAGCCATGTTATTGTGCTTTTAAATAGGCATGTGTTGCTATTGTGATGTAATATATTTATTGAATCTAATTTGAATGATTTTATATTTAGTTTATTTTTAGTTCAGAGACTATGATATCCCTGTAACAAACACATGCTGTAGTTTTCCTCTTTTAAAAGCTCTGAAGCACTTACGAGCCTAGAAGTAAGGAGTGCTGAATTGAAAAGTCAGAAGTGGTCTTTATTACTGTAAAATTGGCCTTGGGTAAGGCATTGACTCCCCCAGCTGACATTTTGTCAGGGCACAGGTTTAAAGACGTGAAGGCTAAAGTGATTATCTGATGTCATAAAAGACATTTTATTATCCCGAGTTTGGGCAAGCTCTGCATTAAGTTTCAAACTTGGATAGTGTTGGTGTTGTTATTGCTTTCTTACCATTTTTGGTATTGTTCCTCTCTTCAGTGCTCTAACCTGATTCTGGTCTTTATGTTTTTTCAAAGCTTTACAATCAAAGTTATGTAGCTGTTAAAGTAACTAGTAAAGTAAATAGTACATATGCAGACATATTTACAGATTTATTACCAGATTATTTCCTTAATTCATTTCTTGTGCACATTGTGTGTCCACTGTATATATTTATATTTAGAGTATGGCTCTCATACTTGATGATATAAAGACAGAGATTATGAGAAGTTTGCTGTTCCTAGTGTATTCAGACTATATGCACATGACAATTTTAGGATTGGATAGTGTCAATACAGATTATTTATTTTGAAACTTGTTCTGCGTCTCTGCTACAAACGCTCTAAATGGCCTGCATTTGTTTTACTCAGTCCCTAAGGACCCCAAAGCGCTTTACACTACATTCAGTCATTCACCCATTCGTGATGGTAAGCTACATTGTAGCCACAGCTGCCCTGGGGCGCACTGACAGAGGCGAAGCTGCCGGACACTGGCGCCACCGGGCCCTCTGACCACCACCTTGATATTTGGCATGCAGCCAGGAGGCAGCCTGGGATCGAACCACCGACCTTCTGATTAGTGGCTGACCTGCTCTGCCACCTGAGCTACAGCCACCCCAAAGATTATTGCTGGACTGGCCTTGGTCTATTCTTAGTTTTCCTATGAGTTCTGAAAGGTGGTGTGTTTGTGGAAGGCTTCTTTACTGCCCTGTCGCTCTAAAGAAATGAAAGGGTTTTTCTCGTTCCTCATACATATATTTGTATAAATGCGTTATATTTTTCTGTTGCATCAACATTTGGTTGATGCCAAGCGTTGTTCATGTTTGATATATGAAAATGCACATATGTGATTATGTGCTTCTGTATACATTGTGTTTGTTTGTTTGTTTGTTTGCATACAGAACATGCAAAGATATTTTAAATCTTTGCGTGTTCTGCAAAGGATCTCACAACATTCTGGAGCTAACCTGCACTACGAGCTAAAATGTTACTTTATTTGTGTACCATTTTAGGTCTGCTTCAGATTACAACAAATGTAGGATGTGCAACTCTGGAGTCTATGGAGAGATTTAAGTGAGGTAGAAAGGCAGAAATTTAATGAGAATTTCTCATTCCGCTTCAAAAGCAGGTGTAAAATGCTAATAATTGAACAAGAGCTTTGACTTTGATTAGGCATTCATGCATAGATTGCATGTTGCGAGTGCAATTGCTTTAAAAAATGACAAAATAAAACAACAATTGACAAGAGTATTTGAAAACCACTGAGCTACCAATTGCAAGGTGCTTTTCTTCACCAAACCCGCGCTCGCAGATGAGTCAGTTTCATTCTCACATCCTGATTCAGCAGATAACTCGCTTACACAACTCCAGCCTCACTTTAGCCCCGTTTTCTTTTTTTCCTGCATTGTTTAAGAATGCTTCTCCACGGGCTCGACTGAAGTGTTGCCTTAGCGAGTCAGCCGGCTAACACAAGATTTGTAATTCCAGAAAACAGGCTTGTGCCAAATTATCTTATTATTTAACGCTCGATTGATGCTCACAGCTTGGGTTTGCAGCGATAAAAGTTCTGTCATTAACCTTTATTATTATGTGTTGCTTTATTAGTGGGCTTCAAGTATATACTTGTCTTTTGCAGCTTCTAGATTTAGATATAATATTTGAATACGTTTACACATTAGCATGGCTGTGTTAAATCAGTAGTCTGGTGAAGACTGATGTATTTATTCCTCCTCTTAATGCTAGCAGGTTGTGTAAGTAGAGTCAAAACAAAATATATTCCTTACATATACACACTCTCTGCTTAAATAATAATAATAATAATGATGGATTGCATTTATATAGCGCTTTTCGGGGCCCTCAAATGTGCGATCCTTCAGGACTGTGAAGGAGGTGTAACTCTTCAAATAGTGTATGTGTAATCCTGGCACTAAATGTTTACGTCTGCGGGCCTTTTTCCTCTTAAAGCATCCAGACTAAAAAAAAACCCCTCAACTGAAGACCAGTGGGATTTAGCCATATTTATGTCAACTCTAAGTGGGGGTTGTTTAAAGTGATTTTCTTGAGATCATTTCCTGCATTGTACTGCTCAGAAGGAAGTAAGTGGCTTTAGTTTACAGGCTGCCATCCTTCTAGCTCAATGTTGGTGTTTCTTTCTCCTTATTTCTTTCATTTTCTTTCTTCCACTCTGTTGTCATTGTACATTGTGTTGCTTTTAAGACCCATTGACAGCAGATGTGGTGGCGAATCAAAAGGAAACTCTCAGGGATTACAAAAACACGTATTGTTCGTATGCCCATTTCAACTAAATATACATTGACATTCCTATTGTGACATGATACACGCACAGTCATTACGTTTTTTCACTAGTAAAGCTTAAAAATACTGCTTCGTTTTTGGGACTGGGGGTAAATTGGCTATTTATTTCTTTTATACCTGATGATTAATGCAACAAAAGTGAAGTAATTTCACGTAATAAAGTTGTAAAGGACATAAAAGGGAGCACAGCTGTGTAGATTTCCAAAGTTTTTAATGATCTATATATGTGTGTGATTTATGACAGAGTAGTGGGATAGTATGCTGGGTCTGACTGTAGCGCATGGCTGAGAACTATGTATAGTGTCGTTGAAGAGGGGGTGGGAGACACAGAGAAACAGAGATTGTGTGTAATAAGAGAGAGCGCAAGCGAGAGAGTGAGAGGAAAAGAGAAGTGCATGTAGTCAGGAGACATCGAAGAAAGACCGCTTTGGTGATGAGGACACGCAGTGAAGCTGAGTGACTGAAAGAAAGTTGAGAGGAAGAGAAAGATAAAGCGTTAGTTAGAGAGAGGTCAAGTTAGAAATGGAGTAGGTGAGAGAGAAAGTGAGAGAGAGAGTGAGAGAGAGAGAGAGAGAGAGAGCA